TGATCGAGCTAAGAACTTTGGGCAATTAGGTTCCCACTCCAGCAGCTACCTTACATTTGACAGACAGCTCCTACTTCAACCCTCAACCCATCACATTTACCACCTGATGTTTCCATTGCATAGTCCAAAGCTATCCAACACCGCCATAGTGAACTGCCCAAATCCATGAAAAATCATTGACTAGAGCCAACACTTTTGATATACTGCATGAAATGCAGCATAACAGTCAATTTATACTTACTTTTGTTAGTCTCACTTCCATTCACTTCATCAGTAGTATAGGGAAAAGCAAAGTCAGTCGCATATGCATGGCTGACAGCTCCCGTAAGACTCACATTGGCAATCTTCAAGGAACATGCTTTGGGGAAAGAAGATGACAGCCCAGGAAATCCAGAATCTATTGGAGAACTGGCAGAAGGAAGGACCTACATGAGGATATAAGAAGCAATAAAGTATAATCTCCCAGTCTTAGAGATGCTACAAAGAAAAAAAATGCTATAGGCCCATACTTGATCAGTGGGTGCCTGCTCTACAAGAAAGAAAGACCCCAAACAATGGAAGATGATTTATACAGAAGTTGAGGGCTACAAGGTGGGAAATCCTAGGGATCTGATTTGCTGGCCAGTTTGGGGAAGCTAGGCATGTCCTTGCCGGCGTACCTGGGGTTACAGTAGTTCTTTTGTTAGGCAAAATGGGCCTTTTAGGAGGGCAGCAGAGTTGAGAAAGTTCATTATTAAGGAGATGGAATGTTGAGGTCCTCAGCTGATGGAGGATATTCTTGGAGATTCTCAAAGTTGCAATTCCCTTGGTAGGGCTGCCCTTGGGCTGGGCTGTGAGCTGGTGAGGAGATTTCTATTATTTGGTTTAGATGGCACTACAGGAGCTTTATCATGGGGGGTGGGCAAAAAGGGTCAATTTGGGTCTGATGGGATTAGGCAAAGAGATGAACTGGGGTGGGGGGAGAGGATGTAGTCTCCATTTTGTTATTTTCTCCACTACACCCAACTGAGAGCCAGTTTGGTCTAGTGGTTAAAGCACCAAGCTAGAAACTGGGAAACCGTGAGTTCTAGTCCCTCCTTAGTCATGAAGCCAGCTGGGTGACCTTAGGCCAGTCACTCTCAGCCCTAGGAAGAAGGCAAAACACTTCTGAAATCTTGCAAAAAACACTTCAGGGACTTGTCCAGGCAGTCACCAGGAGTAAAAAAAACTGACTCAAAGGCGCACGTGCACACCCGTGTTGTTGAGGTCTAAGATGTTTAATTCTCCTGGTAACCTTTCCAAATCTGCCTGCCTGCAGCGCATGACAACTGTAGTATAATCTGTGACCTGTTCAAGGGTATACCCTCACTTTATGTTATGTGCCAAAATGGTTTGTTATGTCATGTAAACACTCAAACTGAGGGTATGCATGGCTGTGTATTTCAAAAAAAAAAATCAGAGTAGAAAAAACTGACATGCAGAATGATTATTTATTGCAATTATTAATCATCTTGTTGGGGACTCCTTTGATAAGCAGAGTCCAAGAACACAACTCTACTGATTCAGTTACTTCTCAACTGGGAACCAGGACCATATATTATTTTCAGGATGCAGAGTAGCCTTCTTAGTGATGGTCTCTGTTCTATAAAGCTATCCATCAAGGCCCTGTGGTCATATCTTCTGCAACTTTTTTTTTTTTTAATGTACACTGCATCTGTTCCAGTAAGCTTTTAAGGATTATTAAAACCAGATGTTACTGTTTTGTATGACATTGTATACTTCTGACTACTTGGGTGCCTTTTCACATTCTGAAAAAACCTTAAGATGATGATTTCAAATATCTTCAAGGAGCTGATATTCTTTTAAGATTGATGTCTAATCCAAGACAGTGAGAATTAATTTTTATTATTTTTAACACATTTTCAAAAAATCTGATTGGGCTTTCATTTTCTATATTTTTGGATTAGCAACATTTTCTCTTATGGGATTTCACTGCAAGATCTGAAAACTTCAAGTTTGCTTCAGTGCTCACTGTAAAAAAACCAAACTTCTCACTTTTCCCATATTCTGCCCTAGATCTCAATGAATTAATCTTGTCTTCCTTCAGGCAAATTCCCATAATTTATTTTATTTCTTCTGAGGTGTAGCATATGAATTTTTAAATTAGCTAAATCAGTTTAAAAGCCAGCTCCACAACAGGTTATTAGACAACTTGAACTAAAATACTCATGTAGAAATAGATGAACTCCCTTAACTCAGAAGATAATTCAGTTACCTTGAAATCAATTACCTTCCAATCCAGGAACCAATTCCAAATCTATTTAAAATTTGCTGGGGTTAGCCTTTGACAATAGTCCCATGCAAGTAGATGGAAACCCTCATTAGGGTACTAGTGTTTCTGCTGCAGACAGGGACTTATACAGCAGAAAACTGGACTTTTAATCCATCTAAATCCAACTGGCATCAGCTCTCTAGATATTTCAGGCAAATGATGACTTTTCCAGCCTACCTGGCTGGGGCAGAACCTGGAATCTTCTGCACGGAAAACATCCAGTTTACCAATGAGTTGTGGCCCTTTCCCCATAAACATTAGCAAGCACTAACAGCTTAATTCTGTGTTCTGACCCCAGTAGGTTTTGACAGTATCTCTTCTTCAGTTGACAGCAGTTACTCTTCAGTTTCAGCCCACTGCTTCATGCTCTTATCTTCAACACTGGATGTTTCCCTTTCTCTCACTGACACCCTTTAAAAGATCTTTTAAAATCTGAAAATCCTGTTAGAAGTGGTCTATGCCTACATCCCATAAAAGTTGGGCTACAATAATGATAAACCACAATCCACATGAATTGTGTGGAAAGGGCCACAGTAGTGCACAAGAACAATTTGGTTGGAGATGTGGGACTGAGGAATCTGCTGTGACTCAAATGGAGGATATCCTTGTGACACCATTCTGGAAGTAGATCAAACTGAAAATGGCAGATGATACCCGTTTGTGTAATGCTCCCATTTCTGCCACCCTACCTTTGTTTCTCCAAGGAGTAGAATTTCCATTTTACAAGAGGAGCCCAGAACCACAACCAGAATACATATATATAATTTGTCCCCAGCAGAAGAAAGCACTTGAGACTACCTAGCCATAAGATAGAATGAAATGGATTGTTTCAGGATCGTTTGGGGGGAATTATTAAATAAATGTAATATTCTTTTAAATTATTTGATTTTTTATAATATTTTTGTTCCTACTGAGCGAGTGTAACACTTGAATATTCTTCCTTAAATTTCAAGTATATGGCTCACCCAATAAAACTGATATAAAATAAGGGGCTAATTAAGTTACTTTTTCCATGTGAAATTTCATGTGACATTTTCCATATGAAATTTCATGTGACCAGATTATTTTAAAAGGAACAATAAAAAGATTTTTCTTATTAACTTTTTACAAGCTCTTAGGGAAGAAAACTTGAGTGTCACAAAGAAAACTGAGGAACTGTTCTACTTTGGCAGCCTAACAAGAAAATGCCTCAGTTCTATTATAACTAACTAAGTAGAACATCTTCATTCAAGCTTCCTGAAAAACAGAAGATCCCACTAAAAAGTGGGAAGCCTTTGCACTTTCTTCTTAGCTGCACTAATATTGTCCTATCATTTAATTTTAAGTGATATCCAGTGTATAAAACACAGTTTAGATTAGAATTAGAGCATTTACAAGACACAATAATTGAATTCACAAGCAGTTTATCTTCAAGTGACAAAACCAGTTTTTGTGCATATAAAGAAACATGCCTCACCTATTAGAAACATGGCAGAAATTTTGCCTACTATGACATGTATGTAACAGTGAAGCTTAAGACATCACAAATCAAGGTTCTAGTATGAGTTAAGATCACAGAAGGGAATGGGTCTAACCTAAGGTACTGTTAAATATTAAAAGGCTGCCTGCAGGCGGGCCTAAATAGAGTCATCTCCAGATCTAAAAAGGCAGTTGATATGGAACATGTGCTTTTCAATATTCTAATGGCCCAATTTGTAGAGGGTATATCCTTTTCTCTATAGCAATTTGAAATAACAACTAAATATTCAAAGCTTAGATATTATGCTCCAAGGGAAAAAAAATCTGCAGCTTAAGAGTCAAGATGCAAATATAAAACATTTTGTCAATTTTCAAATTAATTCTTCTTCTCCTAATAATAGAAACAGTGAGCTGCGACCCAGAATACTAGATTTTCTTTTCCACTGAAAATTGTATTAGTCTTACTGGCCACTAAGAATTCAACCAAGTATTATATATACACTTTCCCCTCTATCACTGGGAATTGTTAAGGGCTGGCTCATAAAAAAGGAAAAAAAGGAAAAGGAAAGGATACTAAAGTTCCCAGTATGTTGAAGCACTTCTCACACAGCCACTCTCATCCCAAACACTACCCAAACCTTCAGAGCTAGTCTTACAATGGCCTGTGACTGCCCTCACAAAGCCATGATGAGAATTCAAGAATGAGCTCTCCAGAGCTAACCAGCATTCCTTTCAGCTGATCAGAAAAAGAATACCAAAAGTGGCCTCTGGACAAGGCACTATGACTGTCCCCATCTCTATCCTTTCCTTGTGCAACAGTTGTTTCTGCAGCAGAAAAGTAAAAAAAAAAAAAAATGCAGCTCAAAGCTACCCTGATGTCCACTATGCACTGGGTTACTATGTCAGCAGCTGTGGGGAAAGAGGACAGCAAGGAACCTGGAGGTGGGGACTTGTGGAAATTCCCACAAGTGATGAAATGGCCCAACTACAAGCCCAGTGGAATTCCATCATAAGTTGCAACACAGGTTTGCAATTTGAACTGTACTGCAGTGCAGCTCAAGCCAATCATGGCATGGGATCACAGGGACATGGCTCTGATCTGCGAGTAGTATCAAAGTCCCTATAGAAGTGCCATAAATTTATCTGTGTTACTAAGGCCTGTGATTAAGCAGAATCATGGCAAGTATAATTCTAAGTGCTTCATTAAGTTTACATTCTATCTTTTTTCCAGGATGCCACTCAAGATGGCATCCATCCACAGAATTCCCAGATGGTCTCTAATCCAGACACTGATGAGGTCAAGGCCAACTGACTTTCAACGGATCAAGAATCTCTTACAAATTTTAATTCACCAGACCTTTGCAGGTGTAAGGCTAACTGTTCCTATAGATAATGCACATAGATATGGACTAAAAATGTAACTGGAGCACATAGACTTTTTGATTTATTTATTGGAAAAAATAAGATGTGGTTATACCCAGGTTATGTTGTACACACTTATAAACAAGTGTGAGATTTCAGATCCAAGGTAAGAATTTGAACATATATTAAAGTGACAAGGATAAGTTTATCCCATGATAGAGTGGAGCATGTTAGATGGTTGTATGATGGTTAACTGATGCCCTCTCTGTATGTTTTGCTGCCATTTTTTTTCTTTTCTTTTTCTTTTAATTTAAATTGTGATTTTAATGGTTTTTATGTGTTCTGTTTTATTATGTACGCAACCCAGAGTCATCATGTGATATGGGCAGCTATACATATGTGATTGATAAATAAATAAATGAATGAATAAATAAATAGTTTATATTCCTCTCTTGTTTACACTTACGTCTTTGCCTCTCAAAGTCTCACCCATCCAATCTCTTAACCTTACACACCATTCCCTTGCTTTTTAACTCCCTTCCCCAATTATGTCTGTTGGAAATCACTCCCTGTTTTTATTTGCTATCTGTGAATTAAGCACAGCAGGACTCACTTGGTTGCCTCAAGGTGACAAGGTATCAGCAAGTATGGATTCCTTCAAAATAAAAGTGAGTCACAAGTATACATTCAAAGTCATTTAGTGCTTCAGGAAAGTAAAATGGAACAAGCTGACCTTGCCAGGCTTCATCAGAAAATGTTATTTCAGGTCAATGAGCACATAATGATGATCATTTCTGAGCAGGTAACAGGGACCCAGGGGGTATAACAACAATCTTTGGAGCAAGATAGCTTAAGATAGTATTGTTAAATAGACAATTGCAATCCCTATTTCTGAACTGTCATGGATGTCAGCTTTAAACTCTTGATGAAACATGGCAACCCACATGCTGTGTGTCAAAAATATGGGAAGGAAGGGAGGGAGGGAGGGAGGGAGGGAGGGAGAAGAAGACAGGCCCAAACCAAACTTAATTATAATAACCATGCTTTACTTGCTGTTCTAGCAAATGGAATTCAGCCCTTGCCCTCTCTTCTGGGCTAACTGTCACTCCGTCCAAAATCTGAAGGTTAGGCAAGCGAAATACAAGGAGGGGGCGATGGCAAATCTTACGTGATACCTAGGACAGGAAAAGAGGATGCAAAAAGTTAATCCAAGCACTAAAGCATCAGGTTCTCCATATCCACATCTTTTCCAAAGGTTCAGGTCAATTCCTAGACTTAATTGAAGGTGAAGACCGATAGAACAAAGTTAACGCCTCTAACACTAACAAAGGGTAAAGTCAGATGTAACAAATTTGAAAAGGGAATCTGTTTTCATAACTTTAAAAGACAAGCATGCAGTCTTATAACAAATCACATACATTTTTAAATGAGTTGTGCAGCAATTCTCATTTTGAAAGAGAAGCTATAATGGTAAAGAGAGCAATGATGAGCACTGAGTCTGCTTAGTACAAGGGAAGCATTATACAATTCAATGTTATGCTCAGCAGAAAGGTGATAAGAAAGGAGAGAGAACATGATAAGACTTAAAACTGCTGCTTTTGTTCTGCACCAAATATATTCCCCAAAAATAAAAAAATAAAATTAGAAAACTTTCAGTGCCTAGTTTTGCTGCAACCCCAACCTACTGAAACCAGTGTAAGTGTACAGCTGAATACTGCAATCAAGTGATAATAGGAATTATTAGGGCTGTGAATGCTTCGGATTCAATTCCAAAAACATACTTTGAAGCATGGAGTGCACGAATGCAGGATCTCTCTGCAATTTCTTAAAGCAATTTCCTGGGATCATACAAAGAAAAAATAAATTGTAGTCCACATTCTCTCTGAAATCTGACTTCAAGTCCTGCAATGTTTATTTAATATATATATACTTTGGGGGTAATTATAACTCAGTTCTGAATGAAATCTATAAAGTGGCTTACCTAAAAATTATACAAAAAGTTTAACAATAAAGTAAACAATTCAAAAAGATACTCAAACACATCTCAAAGCAGAGGATTAAAACAGTAAATACTGAAAAAGAACTTCAAAACCACTGAATACAAAACAACACTAAGTAAAAAATAAAGCAACAACAGAAATCTGCTGAACATAAACATATTAATGTGCCTGGGCAATGAAGCATTTTTTTCAATTCTGACATTTGGGGAATATTATAGTTTGCCTGCTTGCATTCAACTCATTTTCATGGTTTCCCAAGAATGTATTGACTATTCACTGGGAAGACTTCTACTTATTCAGATATTGTGCTTAATATCTTGAATAAATTCATAACATTTTATGGTAAGTGGTAGACACTGAAAGCTGCTTTATTCTTAATGCAGCATGCTGTACAGCATTTTCTAAATAGAGACATTATGAATATTTAGAGGAATGAAACAGAGGGAAGAGTAAACTTAAGTGATGTAACTGTGCAAAATAGTATACTCACTGGATTTCCATATATTGAAAGTTCTTTAATACAAGGAAGATGTTCAAGTTTTTCAAGTTCTGCTAATTCCTGCCCCCAAAATAAAAAATAAATTATGACTGGTCCTCAAAGTTCTGGCCATCCCAGCACTCCCATGGTGACATGATCACAATCTGGGTGTTTGGCAACTGGCTCACATTTATGACAGTTGCAGCATCCTATGGCCACATGTTCACCATTTGCGACCTTCCCTGCTGGCTTCCCACAAACAAAATCAATAGGGAAGCCAGCAGGGAAGGCCGCAAGTCGCACCCTCCCCCATCTGGCAGCAGCCAACCCTGGCCCAGCTGTGTAGGCCATTTGCGCACCCTCCTGCTCCCAGCAGCAGCCATGCCCAGCTCTGCTACACTCACACCACACCTCTCAGGCCACTTGCACAGCCTGCCCTGCACTGCATCAGCCACGTCACACCTTGTGAGCCACCTGTGCACCCTCCCCCAGCCCAGCTGCACTCACAACGTGCAGGCCACTCACACACCCTTGTCCGCCCAGCAGCAGCCACCATTGGCCACAACATACCTGCCTGCTGGGTTTCTTGCAAGCCATCTGGAACTCGCTTAACAACCTACTATCCTCACTTAACAACAGCAACGGGGAATGTCTGGATTGCCGTTGCTAAATGATGCAGTCACGTGACATAGCACTTTACGACTGCATCACTTAGTGATGGAAATTCCGGTCCCAATTACTAATCAAGGACTACCTATATAGCTTTTCTGTAGAAAATACATGTCCACAAAGTCACACAACATGGCATATGTGTATATGCATATTAGACAGGGAATGCACTGATAAAGGTGCTTTAAGGTACTACAACTCAACCTGAATGAAGAAGAAACCCCAGAAGTGCCAAAGATTTATGTGCTATTTCCAAAAAAGTACTAGGACCAAAAGAGAATAGTGATGGTGGGCCAGATGCAATTTGTGGAGCATCCGTGTATAATCTTTTACCCAGAGTTGCACAATTTTTTTTTCTGGTTTTAAGGTCTCAAATTCTGATTTCTGTTATAGTCCTTTCTGTTCTTATGATTTCCAGCTGACCTACTCTCTGTTGCAGTAAAGGAATGAGGAAACCATCACTTGAGACATTGGTTCTACTCCAATCAACCTTCTCCAACCTAATGCTCTACAGATGTAATGGAAGTACAACTCCCAAAATTTCCACTCAGCAGATATACTGGCCAAGAATTCAAGGAGCTCAAACATATTTGGAAGACCTCAGGTTGGAAAGGCCAAGTATAAGACCTACTGTACCTGAATTCTGTTGAGACCAAGGAAAAGTTTCTGTAGTTTTCCCAAGGGAAGCAAATTGTTGAGTTCACGCAGGCGATTCTCCTCCAGATGAAGAGCCAGCAGGGAGCTCTGTTTGCCAAAGGAATTCTCACTGATAACTTTAATTTTATTATGATCCAGCACCAATTCCTGAAGAATCTGCAGGCCTTCAAGCCCTTCAATGTGGCTGATTTCATTTCCTGTTAAACACCAAAATCAAAAGTGGATAGGGATGCAATGGACAAACAGACAACTGAAAGTAATTAAAAGGACAAATATTTCAGAATAGCTACACCCTCTTCACCCAGCCAAAACCATACCACTGAATATCAGGTCTTATAATGGATACCCACAACTCCAACCATCATGGTATTTAATACTTCTCTCTACGAAGTATCTCTGAATGAATATGGAATTTATTTGATCTGCAATCAGATCATGTTTATATTCCTGTGAAATATACTGTCATATCATGATTTGCTTGTTTTGGAGTTAGTGTATCATATGAACTCAGCAGCTGATGGCTTACTATTATGCTGAATCCAGGCTACTAATAAAGTATGATTTACTCAACAAACCATAGTTATAACAACACTGGCTTAGTCTAATGTGTGAACAATTAATGCCACAAGTTAATCAGCTTGGCTTTCCATGATGGGAAGCCCATAATGTCATGAGGGACAAGGGTGTCCCTCCCTCCCTGTCAGCGTTTACTCCTGGTGACTCCCTGGACAAGTTCCTGCAGTTTTCTCGGCAAGATTTTGGAAGTGGTTTGCCATTGCCTCCTTCCCAGAGCTGAGAGAAAGTGACTGTCCCAAGGTCACCCAGCTGGCTTTGTGCCTAAGGACGGACTAGAACTCAGTCTCCAGTTTCTAGCCTGGTGCCTTAACCACACCACCAAACTGGCTCTCTTTAATATTTAATACTAATTATTTAATAAAATTATTTAATATATTATTGTTTATTTTGTAGTTTGAGGGGGGGGGTTATGTTATGTTAGCTGCCAGAATCTCTATTACAAGATGGGAGGCTACACAACTTGAATAAATGAATAAATAACAAAAAAATG